TTGGCTATTGTAAATATTGCTACCATGAACATAAAGATGAACAGATTTTTACGAATTATTGTTTTGGTTTTCTTTGGATAAATACCCAGAAGTGCAATTTCTGGGTCACAGGTAGAACAATTTTTAATTTTTTGAAGAACCTCCAGACTGTTTTCCATAGTGGCTGTACTCACAAGGTTTTGTCAGTAAATTTTCTAATAATACTATAAAGTTTATTTGAAGAAACAAACAGGTGAATATAGTTAAGAGGATGCTTAGATTTACATAATTTTCAAGCTGTTGATTTACTGAATTAACTGGTATCACTCATTGAGATAAAATATATCAGATTATTGTGGACTGCGGAAGATCATATTAAGAAGACTCCGTGACACATTCCTTAGGGAAAAAGGATGATGATATACTGTGACCTAAGGGTGTAGGATTAGAGGATCCTACCATACATGATCATAGAGCTGCTATATAAAATTGTTATAGTATCAATTTTAATGGAACTAATGAAATGATATAGAATACACTTAATATTAAAAATATATCTGATCTTTGCTTATTATGAAAGAAATTTAAAATTGATCGAGCCCTTTGGGTTACTATTCTACCAAGTTCTGTTAACTTGTAGAAATAATGCTTATGAGTAGTCCAGAGAATTGGCCACCAACAATAGGAATATCTACATGCATAATTACAGAATGAGTGACACACTAACTCTGGCTAAAAGGTAAATAATCAATAAAATGACAGAAAGGACTCAAAAAGACAAAGAATCAGGAACAGTTTATTAGATAAACAGGGGCTGCTCATAAAAATATCTAAACATCATTACTTGAAAATTGACAGGTAAATATAGCATATTAAACCCTTACAATTTTCAATAAAGTCAAAGTCAAATCATAGTTTTATATATCTGTGGTAAATGAGGCCAAGATTTTACTACTATATACACTTGAAAAACTTAGAAAAATGATCTAATTATGCCTCAACATTGAGGACTTTTACACAGACAGATTTTTCACACCCATTAGTTCATTTTATACAGAAATAAATTCCTAATGCCTTATTTGTTCATTTGTATTATGGCAATATTAGTTACTCTATTGCATAGTGTGAGGGATTTAACTGTTGAATACAAAGTTACTAAACAAATTTCTACATAGATAATGATCCCTGTTCCCCTTTAAAGTAAGTCAACCACAGAACCAAGAGCCAAGATATTTTCATTTTATTCTTTACTCTTCTATTTATTCAGTAGCTAAACACATTTTATCTTATCCTTGAGTCTAAAAAGCTTTTTCTGTGAAATGGAGAATAAATGTTTTATTTTACCTTCCCAGAGAGCTGTGAGGACTAACACAATTGAAAATGGGTAGTATTAGAAATTTCCTTCCAACTATGGAAAAAAAGGAAACATGACATTGTTGTTCTATTTTAGTTTTACCAGCTACCACCGTAAGGACTTCTAAGAAGCATCGTCTTGTCTATCACATTACATTGTTCCTCTGTGCTGCTGATTGCTGCACAAGGTGGTTCTTTTTGGGTTCTTTGATAGGTTATATATCCTTATTGTCTGCCATTGCTTGTGATAAAAGTATTTCAGGACAAATTCTCTAATTCTCAAATTCAGTTGTTATTACATTAACCATTTCCAATGAATGCAGTTTTATACTATGCAGAGAGTTATCTTTGGGAAAGAGACTATTCCATTAATTATTAGATTTGTCTGTTGGAGGTTAACTTATGCTACCCAGAAACACTACAGGTTGCCTTCATAACCATGCCTCTGTATAATTGAAATGTCTTGTATGGCTTGAATTTCCTTCCCAACACATTTCCTGGCAAAATTACCATAAAAAATATGAGATCACAGGTTTATTGATCACAAGCTTAATGATTACACTTTCATTGATTACCAAGGAAATCTCAGCTGCATATAAGCATGCCCTTCTCACAAATGGAGTCAGACAGACCTGTTGGGTCCCAATATGCCATGCTTTTTGTATAGTTGTGTGAAATACTGTTGCCTGGACCAGCTTCCTCATATTCCCTGTTTTTCCAATCCATTTAGCACACACCACTCTTAGAGCACTTATCACAATGTTACAATGTGTGTTCCCAAAACTAGATTCAACATGCTGGATTATACCTATGTTTTATTCTCCTTGGTATTTTCTCCCATCAATTAGTGCAAAATTGAGTGACTATTAACGTTTAATAATAAATGCTTAGTTGAATGAATTCTCTACATAATATTAAAATAATTTCATTAAGTTATATCATGCCTCTTCTATACTTAAACCATTCTGGTGGCTTCCAATTGTACTGAAGAAGATTCTAAACTCCTTGAGAGGACATGAAAGTATTATTTTTACCTCTCCAATGTTACCTCTCACCATTCTCTGTCAGTCACCTCTCACAGTCTAAGTTGTAACCACATTGGTCTTTCACTTGTTGGAACAAGCCAAGGTCTTTCCCAACATAGGTCTCCACGCCTGTCATTTCTTCTGCCTAGAATGTTCATCACCTCTCTTTTCTCATGGTTGGCTCCTTTTCGTCTTTCAGATTTTAGCTTAAATGTGATTTCCTCAGAGAGGCTCTCCCTGACTACCCAAACTAAAGACAGTCTTTTCTCTAAACCTCTAATAACATCCTAGTTTTCATTCACAACATTTGTTATAACATGTAATTAAAAATTATTTGTATCTTTTTCTTATTTTCACTAAATTCTAAACTGCATGAAGGATAAACAATATGTTTGTTTTATTTATAACTATAAACATAGTACTTAGCACTTAATGGGTGCTCAGTGAATATTTGTCAAATAAATGAATAATAACACATTCCCTTTTCATGGCTCTAATGGCAGACTTTTTCTGGACACATGAGGATATCAATGACTTTAATGGTTCAAAGTCTTCTAAGTCACCAAAGTCATGTGCAAACTCACTTTGTCTGATTTACCAATGTTTCTTAGGCTATTTAGGAAAGCATCTGAATGACTGATGTAGGCAAGATCTTCCCAGAAATCTAAAGGGTTGTTTAGACCTTAGTTATGATCCTAAGACAAAAGCAGGGAGAAACAGCATGGTGGTGAAAATAGCATGAGTTCGTATTGATATGCTTAGGTTAACATCCTGCCTTCATCATCTCCTAGCTGGGTGACCTTTAGCATGCTATTTGCTCTCTTTGAGCTTTGGTTTCTTCATGTGTAAAATGAGTTATGAGAATTAAGTAAAGGCAAAGTGACTAGAACAATTTCCAGTGTATTGAAGATATTGGAAATCATAGCTCTTGCTATAATTGTCAGATATTGGGTCAGAAGATAATTTGATAAGTCATGTACAGTCGTGTCACTTAATAATGGGGATTCATTTTTAGATATTCATCATTAGGTGATTTCATCATGCAAACATCATAGAGTGCACTTACACAAATCTATATGGTGTAGCCAACTTACACGTCTAAGCTATATGGTATAGCCTATTGCTCCTAAGCTAGAAACCTGAATAGCATGTTACTGTACTGAATACTATAGGCAATTGTAACACAGTGGTATTTGTGTATCTAAACATAGGAAAAGGAAAGTAAGAATATGATATAAGAGATAAAAATAGTACACTTGTATAGGGTAGTTACCATAAATGGAGCCTGCAGGACTGGAAGTTGCCTTGGGCGAGTCAGTGAGTGAGTGGTTAGTGGATGAGAAGGTCTAGGACATTACTGTACACCACTGTAGACTTTGTAAATACTGTTCCACACCCCCAATCACTTCCTTTCAAAGTGTTAGAAATAGAACATCGAAGCTGTCAGTGCTGCTCCATGAACAGGGATGTGGGCTGGATTGATTGGAATATCAAGGAGACATTGGCTGGATAAGGTGTAGATCACCATAATAGTGACTGATAGGATGGAGTGAAAAGTGGCCTGAGGATCAGTAAGAATAAGACATCAAGATGGAGAGATAAAGGAAGATAAAGGATCGTCATGGCAATGTGGTTTAGGCTAGTGCATGTTGAAATAGTGGTCTGATTAAGGAACTTTGTGATAGTCATTAAAAAAAGAGGGTGTTTAAAAGGGAGAGTGTAACAGGACAAACAGATACTCAGGAACATGGACAATGAGCTAGTGGTTACCAGAGGGTAGGGGGTAAGGGATGAAGGGAGAGATAGATGGGGTAAAAGGGGTCAAATATAGGGGGGTAAGGAGAAGGTGAAGTGGGTAAGGGGGATCAAATATATGATGGCTGAAGGAAACTGAACTTTGGGTGGTAACAATAGAATATATAGATGGCAAATGATAATGTACACCTGAAATTTATATAATTGTATTAACCAACGTTACCCCAATAAACTTAATAAAAAATAAATAAATAAATAAAATAAAAGGGAGAGGGTATATAAATGAGGACTTAATGTTTTGACTTTGAAAATTTGTTTTAAGTTCCATTGACCCCATCCGACACAAAGGACTCTCTCTGGCATTAAATTGATGGAAGAAATAAAAGTTACTTATACTTTACATTATTACGACCTAAAAATATTTCCAAAATACATTGACAGGCTGGCTCCACACTACCACAGAAAACTTACTAAAGTGACAGCGCCACTTAATACTTGTCAAGGTAGCTCCTGTGGACTTGTGTCCTTGTACAGGATCTTATGCAGCAACGTACTATGAAGACCATCGAGCTAGATCTGAGAGGGCTATATTGCCTTCTGAATCTGTAGCACGGTGGGGACAGGCTCCTCTGTGCTGAAACAAGTCAGTGTCTGACTGATTGGGATGTAATCTGTGCACTCAAAATTAAGGTGCTGTGAATGAGGGAATCTACCCCACAGATATTGCTCCCATCAGAGAAATGATATTCCTTCTGAACCACCTATCCTTCCATTTCTTACAGGAAATTCAGGTTCATTATAATCTTATGGGACCACTGTCGTATATGTGGTCCATCATTGACCTAAATATCCCTATGAGGCACATGACTAGTCTGATAAACGTGGTATGTAATTTATTCTTTGCAAGGTATTTCTTTGATTTGGAACACAAAGCATCTTATGGGCTTAGACATTTTCATTTTTTTTCTTTCCCTTCCTTCCTACCCATTAACTTGTTCAAGGCATTCTTCATGTCTTCATTCCTTAGGGTATAGATTTTGGGGTGACAGCGGTGAAAAACACAGACACCACCTTATCCTCGGGGAGGCTGGTGGATGGACGGGAATAGATGAAGATGCAGTGTCCCAGGAACAGTGTGACTACGGTGAGGTGGGCTGCACAGGTAGATAGGGCCTTCCGTCTGCCTTCAGAGATCTGCTGCCTCAGACTTACCAGGATAACTACATAGGAAACCACGAGAACCACAAAACAGACCACGGAGATTAGCCCACTATTGGAGATGATGAGAATCTCAATGATGTGGGTATCAGTGCAGGCCAGTTTGATTACTTGAGGTACATCACAGAAGAAATTGTCAATCTCATCAGGACCACAGTAGGGTAGCTTGATAGTGAGGGAGGTAAGGGATATAGAGTGGATCATCCCCCCTATCCAGAGGGCCACAGCCAGCCCCACACATACTTTCCAGTTCATCACTGTCATATACTGCAGGGGTTTGCAAATGGCCACATACCGATCATAGGCCATAACAGTGAGGAGAAAGATCTCCGTGCAAGCAAAGAGGTGCAGAAAGAACATCTGAGTAACACAGGCATCAAAGGAAATGAGCTTCTTTTCTGACCAGGTATCTATCAGCATCTTGGGGACAGTGACTGTGGAGTGGCAGACATCGATAAAGGACAGGTTGCTGAGGAAGAAATACATGGGGGTATGAAGCCGGTGGTCATAGATAATAGTTATGACAATGAGGATGTTCCCAATCAGAGTCAGGGCATAGAAAACGAGGAACATGGCAAACACAGCCACCTGTACCTTCTGATTTACAAATAAACCTCGAAGCTGAAAATATGTCACTAAATTAGTTTGATTGAGTAGGCCAGCCTCTTCCATTCTCTTTGTTGGACACTCCTGTCAAGAATTAGAAAAACAAACAAACCAGTATTGGCATCGATTATTTGGTCTCTTAATTTCTTTTGTGCTCATGACTTTCCCCTCTACCTAGAATATCTGATCAAATATCTTATTTTAAATTCCCTATTCGGCATCTTAAATTATGTTGGACACATAGTAGGTGCTAAATGCACACTTTTGGAATAACAGAATAGAGAATCTTGATTTACTAAGAGGTATAAAACAATTTTAGATAGGGAGAGACCAAATAAGTTGTTTCTCCCTTATTGTGGTAAGATATCAGTGCTCAGATTTAGGTTACAGATTTTTACAGAAGAAATTAAACTTCTGACTCCAAATATGTAATTTGTCCAACGTCACACAAATCCTGGCCTTGAACATAGCTTTCTTTATTGTCTTGTTATTGCATTTTTCACTAACCCAAACAATTTGCTCCCCTGTTGGCTATGTCGTGATGCCTTGACACTGTAATTTCAATTATCTAGTTTTCAGAAGGTAGAGGCTTTTTGCCAAGCTGCTGGACAATTGGCAATGTGGCTGTGGCATTTTTTGAACAATTCTTTAGAGGAGGCTGGATAAAACCCTGGAAACCTTAGAACATCTGGAGAGGGTGAGGGAGGCTTGCTTCTCCTCCACTCCTCAAATGGGTGTGGACTTGCTCATTCATATGCTAGAGGTCAAGGTTCAGGCTTAATAGCCTCATTGTCTTGACTAAATTATCCTCAGTGCTTTAAAAAGTCCAAATCTGTCATCTTGCCCACAAGTAAATCAAAAGTAGTTCTTTTACTTTCTTTTAAACTAGTCTACTTTCAACCCAAGTCTCACTATTTTTAATAAGAAATGTGTATATGATAGAATCATAAGATCTTTGCTCTTAAAAAGACCTAAGAGTTTACCTAGTCTATCTTGTTTTCATTTTACAAATAGAAAAAAATGAGGCACAGAGAGGTAAAGCATCTGGCCCAAGTTCACAGAGACTTGGAGTGATAGCTGGGTCCAGAGCTTAGGTCTCCTGACTGCTGGTCCAAGTTTTCTTTATCACCACTCTGACCTGACTTTTGGTGGTAATTGATATAACCGAGGCATTAAGTAGAATGTGTCTCAGTTGCCTCCTTCCTTCTCTCCTAGGTGTTTGGGGTCAGATTGGGTGGGCATCTGTGAGAAGTCTTTCTCCTCTAGCTTGCCTCCTTCATGCTGCTACCTTGATGCACAGCCTTCCAGAGGTGGCCCACCCAAACAGGCTGCCCCTCTTGGTTCCTTGAGCCCCAACATCTTATGCTACCTTCGTCCCATCACTGATCATAACGCATGCTTTATGTCATCTCTTGAGATCAAGCTCTCTGCCAGATGAATTAACTCCACATTGCTTATGAAAAAAGACTAAACAAAACTTTTCTGCTCCTCGTTTTCCTTTGCTTCTCAATTATTTCCTATACCTCATCACACTGGACTTCTGCAGACAATGGCCCTTTTTGTCTATATCAGAGGAAAGACTAATAGTCGTGTCAAATCAAGAAACTAGCGAAGGAAATCTGTGGCAAAGCAAAAATTTTTAGGGCAGGAGAAGTCTTTCAGTTAACATTTAAATTAAACTCATAGTGTTTATTGTTTAGATTCATGTTTATAGTAACATGTTAATGTAGCTATGGATGAATTTTACTATTTACAAGTTTTTCTTAGATTGTTCATTTAAAACTTTTGCTCCAGAAAACAATTTCAAGTGTTTCATTATCTACATCTGTTATCTTTGTAATTTAGTAAGTTTGAAGGGGATGATTGCAAAATTGAAAGTTGAATTACTGATCAAGAATAGAGCCAGGGGTTTATTTTAAGTTCAATGTGAGAAATATCACCTATACAGAGAGGAAAGGTATGCAGACTGAGAAATGGATCCGAAGTGAAGATTTCTGTTCCATCATCATCATTTTTTTCTATTTCAGTGGAGCCATAGGAAAAAATGCTTTAAAAAACAGAGATGTGTCCAACTGTAGTAGAAATTTGGTGTTAGTTTATGTCAAAAATATGGTACACAAAATGAAAACCTAGCGTCTATTGCATATGTTTCAGAAAAGTGGGGGAAAACAATTAAAAGAAAAGTAGAATATAATTAAAATGTCTATAAAACTCACGTTGGGTTGTTCCTGATGCTCTCAGCATCTCCAAAGGGAATGGAATTATCTCAGTCTTATAGTTTCAATACTGATATTATTTTCCAGTAGAAATAATTTTTTTTGCAATTGGACAAATCAAATAACCCCACTTACCTTGATTTGATTTTTCTGTAAAGAAGGTCAAAACCTTTTAAGTTCCTTTGGGTCTCGTTCACAGTTTTTGATAATAAGTCACAGTAGATATATTTGGTGATATTTGACCAGAGGCACTTCAGGATTTCTGCAAAAAACACACCTTTGTACCTATATTTTTGTCATATTTTTTCAATATGTATAGCATGTAACTCTGCACTAAGATTTTCTAGAATTGTTTTCTAGTCAACTGAAGGTGTGATATAGGAATGGTATGTTTTTCACACTTCGTCAGACTGCAGTGATAAGTAGAAAGGATTAAAAGTGCTACCAACCACTTTTGCAGGCCATGCTAGTTTACCAGGACACTTCAAACACAACACTTGATGGAATTATTTAGAATCAGTGTGACTGAAGTATCTTGCTACTTCGCAGCATACTCTTTACGTAGAAGTTTTGCATTGCTAATTTCTTTCAAATGGATTATTCCACCTTCAAGTACTGAAGGAAATCTGTAGAGAAAGAAAGCAGCTGGGACTGGCAGCTGCCACGTTGGTGTTTTTCTACTGAATTATATAGGCTTTGTGTCCTTGGGAACTTTAAAGCAGTGACATCAGCTTGCCCTAGTCACTAGTTAGAAAAAGTTAATTCTGTGATTCTGTGGGGATTAAAGTTACAGACTTGCAATTGTCACTAAGGGAATGTAATGAGAAAACAAGACTTCAACATAAGTCTTTAGGATGTATTTATATTTATATATGACTATTAGGTGAGGGGCTTTTATGTATTCTTATTTAATTCATATGAAAACATGGAGATGAGGGAAGGGAAATGGAGTTAAGATTTAATCGGCTCCCTGCCAGAGAGGTCAAATGTTTGGACTCTTGAGTCAGATTGTCCAAGTAAAAATTCCAGTGTCTTAGAAGTGTAAATTCGGGCAAGGTATTTCACATTCTGAGCCTCAGTTTTCTAGTTAAAAAACATGAATACAATGGTAAACATTTTTAGAACTCTTGGTAAAGCATGTGGCACTAAATGTGTTAACTATATTAACATAATTCTGTAATATGCAATTCAAAAAATAAACAAAACAGCCACCACCAGCTACCAGCATCCCTATTTGGGCATCGCTTCATTATTTTGGATAATAGTGAAAATGTAGAACCTCTTGCTTAACTGCCCCTTTCTCTTTCTCTGTTTGGATGTATGAGCTTGGTGGTTTAAGTTGGTGAAAGGATTCAAAGGAGAGAGATGAAGATTATACTCTGAGTTTGAATTTCAAGATTGAACAGTTTTGTGGGATGGTCATGCTATCCTAAACAGAGGGTTTGGGGCTAGAGGGTAAGCCTCACAGCTGACTCTCCATACAACAGTGTGTAGAGAGAAAATGCTAATAGAGGAAAATGTTAGAAGTTACTGGAAATTCTTACTCCCAAGGACTTTGGCTTAGGCTTCTTTCCCCCAGTTTTCTTGTTGGATTCATTATCATTTATCAGAGGCCAGACTTGACTGTACTGAAAAAACTGGAGCTTCTAGAACTTACAGGTATTGCTACTTGGCCACTGTGGGGCTTGTATTGTATTGTTACTTAGACAATCAGGGAACACATGAGAAAGAAGGATATGCTGGCCATACTAATTCTCTGTACACTTGGATTTAAATCCTTTATCATAAGCATAATATACCAAGGGCAATACAGAAAATGACTTTCAATTGATTACAGGGCCATTACTATGACTGTTGTCATTGGCAAATGCAAAGTTGAGAAATTACTCTTTGACTTCTTTGTATTACTATTTCTGCACTTCCTTTTGGTAGCCCCACCACTTTCCTCTGACTGTTCACAGACTGCAACCTAGGTGTCCTGCTCAGGCTTTTCTTCCCTGGCAGTTCTTCGTACTCCAAAATTGTGTGTTCCTACTCCCTCCACAGAAAAAATGAGAACAGTTGTTTATACTTGCAGAATACTTTAGAGTTTGCAAAGCTCTTTCATACTCATTATTTTAGTTGATCTTCACAACATCCCTGTAAGATAGAGAGCATTATAGAAAAATTGGACTTAGTGTTTAGTGATTTTCACCAAATTTACATGTCAGATAGCATCTGAAGCAGAGCTCGAGTTCAGGTCTTCTGTTGCTAAATCCAGTACTTATTCTATCACTTCACTTGGAAGCTGTGTTTCATAAAAGAGAAATAGCATCCAGGTATACATGATTGGTCGATTTCATCACCTATGGAATGTGCACACTTAAAGAGTTGCTCGATCACTTGTACGTGGAATCTAAAAAAGAAAAAAAATGAGCACATAGATATGGGGGTGGACAAAAGGGTGAAGGTGGTCAAAAGATATAAACTTCTAGTTTATTATCATTCTTTTTTATTATGGTGACATTGGTTAATGAAATCCAGTAAGTTTCAGGTGTACAATTCAACAGTAAGGCATATATATACATTGCATTGTGTGTTCACCACTCATAGTTAGATTTCTTTCTGTCACCACCTGTTTGTCCCCTTTAATCCCATCTACCTCTCCCCTTCTCCCTCCCCTTGACCTCTGATAACTGCTAGTCTATTGTCTATGAGTCTCTGCTTGTATGTCCTGTTTGTCTGTTGCTTTTAGGTTTATATCTCACATATAAATTATGTGGTTTTCAACTTTTTCTATCTGGCTTATTTTGCTTAGAATGATTAGCCCAAGGTCCATCAGTGTTGTTGTAAATGGCAATATTTCATCTCTTTTTACGGCTGAGTAATATTATATTGATATATGTACCACAGCTTCTTTTTTTAAAAATTTATTATTTATT